ATACTAAATGTAGCATTGCTGTTTCAAAAACACAGACATACAATATTGGAAAATTCAAGGGAACTGAATATATTTACTGAAACTTGATTCACCTTTGCAATTAATGCTTTGAATTGGATTCATTAATTTGGCCCTTCCTCTGTTGGAAAAATGTATCAAAATTAGTGGTGTGTGGTCCAAGCACAACAAATAGGAAAAACAAATAAAGTGGGAGATGACATGGAACTTAAAGTTTAATAAATGGAAATATAAAATAATTCCTCTTAAAACAAATAAATTGTTTTGCCTGTAAAATTATCCCAATGCAGCCCAAATTCTAGCACACAAATTCTAGTTTGTAATTGTGAAAAGTGTACATTGCTACAAGTATGATACAATCAAGATTAACATAAGGATCTATGTTGTTCTATGCGGTCTTTTCTTGTAACCTAAATTCATTAGTTTGGCAAACACTGGGGTACTTAAAGTATTTTTCACACAGTGCAGTTTGAAGCATATTTCAAACTTTGAAGCATATTTCTGGTGAGTGCCACCAGAGCCAGTCCTAAGCCCAGGCAAACCTAGGCAAACCTGGGGTGCCAAATTTTAGGGGGCACCAAAATTGAAAAGATTTCTGAAATACACTATATAAGTTTTAAAATATCTGGTAATCTTTCCATTTTCCTTTAGAATTTTTTCCTTTATATGCTTTTCAGAAACATTTATCCCAAAGTCATTTGAGTGGTAGTGAATAGTACATTGACGAGACATTACAGCCTTCTCTGCTGCAGCTCCCGCCCTTTGGAACATCTTATCCTCTAGGTCGGATAAGATCTGCCCACATCCTCCTATCCTTTCGCAAGAGCCTGAAGACCTGGCTCTGCCAATTGATCTGGGGACTAAGGGGGGGGGGGGGGGGAGTTCTACAGTGGAGGTAGCTGCTAGATTGATATCAAACTCCTCCTCCCCACTCCCCTGCTCTCTGCTCTTCACCCCGCCATCTTTTTGGTTATCATAATAAAAAAAAGTAAGTTTCTCCTGTTCAGTCATGTCCAAGTCTAAAGGGCGGTGCTCATTTCATTTTCTAGCCAGGATGCCAGCATTGTCTGAAGACCTAGTCATGTGGTCTTCGGTATGACTATACACCAAAGAATGCTATCATATTGATGTATTTATTCTTGTTGTGTTCCTTTGTTGTTGTTTATTTTATTGTTCTGTTATTTTATTTCTGTTTACATGCCTTTCATTTTTCTTCCTTTTTATTACTGTAAGTCATCTAGCCCTATGGTGAGATAGGCAGCAAATAAATTTAATAAATAAATAATAAAATAAATAAATCACAAGTCACGAAAAAGAAATTATTATTACAGCAAAGGAACTCAGGAAGCTAATAATTCAGTTAAGCAAGACAAAGGTCTGTTATGAAGGTACTGAACGAGTCATATGACTATTAGCTTATCAAACCAGACTCCATGTGCCACTACACCTGTTTAAGGGTTAAATATAATTTTACAGAATTGTTGCCATATGACAACAGTGGCTGCTCATGTAATTAAAATTGTTTATAATGATTCACAGTAAATAGAGTGAAAATATCTGAGACAAGAAAAGGTTTTTCAAAAACTGTGAAAAAGAAAGAAAGAAGGCAACTCTTTGAAATTCTTAAAAATCAGAAAAGGAGCCATATCATAGAGGGCGCCAGAATGCAGCTTTGCCCAGAGCACCAAAATGTCTACTGTTGGCCTTGGTTCCATTCAGTTCATTGTGACTTACCCTTAGGTATGCAGAATAACATGTGTGCACCTCTGAATCACTGTTGACTCCTGGAGGCTGCCTGAACTAGTCCCTGCAGTTTAATTGGCAAGATTTTGGAAGTGGTTTGCTATTGCTTCCTTCCTAGGGCTGAGAGAGAGGTTACCTTTGTTAAGCCTGAATTCCCCAACGAGTGTTAAGGAAAACAAACTAAACAGAATGTGTAGCGTAGTCAGATAGGCAGACAGGTAAATGTGTGAGATAAGTTTGTATTTTAGTTAACACGCAGTAAAAAACAGATACGCTTGTGCTATCAAAATTATAGTTTATTCCATTAGGAATTATAGCATAGTCAAAATAAACGGTCCATTAGTCATGTATCATTTCAGTCAGTCCAGTCGGGGATACTCAATTTGCAAAATCCGTGTTGAATAGCCAATGTCAGTTCACTTACAATAAATCAGTCTGTATTATCTCTTCTCTCCGTTGAGAAATCAACACTCCTTTTTCTCCTCCGTTCCAGTAAGGAAAAACGCAGTCATCAATCCATCCAGTAATTAGGGATCATTAAGCCAGAGAGAGAGAGCTGCAATTGACTTGCTTCTTTTATGGTGCTTTTACAACCACACCCTTAATTACATTCTTGTAGTTAAAGTTACACACACTTTAACCAACAAACCATGATAACTTATTTATTATTTTTTACCCAAACCAGTTAGGGTAAACAATGTTATCCCTAACAACCTTTAGCTTAGTACCTAAGGTGGGACTAGAATTCTTGGTCTCCTGGTTTCTGGACCGATGCTTTAATCACTATACCAAAATGGCTTCTCTTCCCATCTGAGGTATTACATTACCAAGAACGGACTAAGAGAGGTATTTTTGGTAGATGGCAGAAAAGAATAGAATAGAATAGAATAGAATGGAATAGAATGGAATAGAATAGAATTCTTTATTGATCAAGTGTGATGGAAACACAAGGAATTTGTCTTGGTGCAAATGTTTTCAGTGTACATAAAAGAAAAGATACATTCGTCAAGAGTCATCAGGTACCACACTTAATAATAGTCATAGGGTACAATAAGCAATCAAATCATATTAGGAAACAGTAAATATAAATTGTAAAAATACAAGCGACAAAGTTACAGTCATACAGTCACAAGTGGGAGGGGATGGGTGATAAGGAGTGATGAGAAGGTTAATAGTAATAGTAATGCAGACTTTGTAAATAGTTGGACAGTGTTGAGGGATAGTTATATAATACCATATTTTTAAAATGAATCTTCTATATATATAAAAATGAAATGCCATTCATGCATCATCACAAAATCTGTAGAACCGTAAAGCCTACAAACTTAAAATTTGGCACATATGTTCCTCTTCGCTTCTAGGTGCTCACTAAGAAAAGATTTTTCGAAACGACCATCAGAGCATTAGTATTTCATATATTAACACGCTCTGATGCTCAGGAGTTCTACTCCCCCTCCCCACCTGAAAAGAAATCTGTTCCAAATGCAAAACACAAAGAGAGGGATTTCAGTTTCAGTTTTACTTTCACAGCACCAAGCAGCTTTAGTACAGAACAGTTGGGCTAAACCACACCCAGGCTCCTTGCTGTCTCCTTCTTGCTCACACAGCAAATACTGTTTCAGTTTCCATGTTTCAGTTTCCAAACAGCCGTCAACTCTCTCACACACTGACAGGATGCAGCCAGATGAATACAGATAAATGCTGGTAGGCAGAAGAACAATTTTTCCCCTTATTTTCCTCTCCAAAAACTAAGCCAATCACATAGTTTCATAGCGAAGCACGGGTATAGAGCTAGTAAGGAAATAAATTCAGATAAAATAGTGATATAAATGTATGTATATATATACATACTTGAATAATATTTGCATTAGACAAGTATATATAGAATTGCAATCATTTATTGTTATAATGATATATCATATAACCTGTAAGCCACCCAGAGTGACCTTGTAGGAGAGAAGGGTGGCATAAACATTTAATAGATAAATAAAACGTTTTGGGAGTCAGATTTTTTCACTTTTGGGTTAAATCACCTTCTAGGTGTTCTTTTTATTCTTCTCTTTTACTGTGTATCACCATCACAATTATCTTTGTCCCCCCTCCTCTTTTTTGTTATTAATTTACAATCAATAAAAATAACATATTCACCAGTTGCATTCATATATGCCTAATCAACTTCTTGAATCTACCTGCATTCACAGAATACATGATTAGAGTATGTTGACCATAATTTTATTTTATTTTGCTATAGAAATTCAGCCCTTATGGATTTTCAAGTTAAAATTGATAATGGAATTTGGAAAAGAAGCATTTTTAAAATTAAGAGCAGCTGTTTTCAGTTTACTTGAGATGTTCCCTTTTGTTCTGCATTTCTTTCATTGCTATTATAAAGAGAAAAACCCAGATACTCTATGGTTCTCTGTTCTTCATTCTGAAATATATTTTATTCCTCATCAGAGAAACCTTTGGAAAGACTGCTAAGATATTCAAAATGTAAAGTGAAGTTCATCAGATATCTTAAATTTGTAATGACAAGAATACTTGAAGAACAGAAAACTCCGTTATTTGCAAATGGTTCCTTGACATTGCTGGTAAACTTCTTTAGGTTTCTTTCTTTTTTATCAATGCAAAGCCTGCAGCACCTGACATGATCGTAAAAGAATTTAATGTGGGGCTTTCCTCCTTCCAACTCCACAAGCCGATCGCGTATTCTCAGCCTGGGTTCCCAAGATAGCGTTAGACTACAAATTCCCAGGCTGGGCAATGAGCAAAAACATGAGAACTGTATCCCAATGTTTGGCGATCTCGGGCTCTGAAAGACGGAGATAAACAGAGCTAGATTTCTCTACTCCGTTCACCTGCTCTGTCGAATTTACGTGCCAGACGGCGAAGAACCACCGGCTGCGACGAATGTTTGATTTGCTATTTGCAAAGTTCCAACAATGTTGGTTTTAATCCCATGTACTACGAGTTGCAGCGTTTGGAGCGCAGAAAAGGTGCGGCGGCGGGCGGAGGTGGGATGCCTCGAGCGCGGCGGGAGGCGTCCTCGTCCCGCCCGTTTTCTCGGACCAGGCGATGTCCTGGCACAGCCCAGCCGGTTCCTTCGAGGTTTTGAGAGTACCGCTTAAACGCGATAGGCGCGGTCCTATTGGGGCTTCGACTGGACGTACCAAGGCTCCACGCCCCCCCACCCCCAGTCCACCCGTGACTGGAAGGGAACTTGCAATTGCCCTCACAGAAGCTGCGCGTGAGGTTCCTCCCCCCGCCTCGCCCCCCTCACACACAGATACACACGCGCACACACCAGTCCTCTCTCCCGCCAGTTTGTCTGCCGCCACGGTTTGCTCGCGCGCTCCCTCAGGGTGGTGGTTGCTCCCTCGAGCCTCCCTCGCGCGCGCTGGCGGCGAGTTCCAGTTCGGACTCTGCGCCCAGAGGAGGACGTTCCCCGCGAAGGTCGGACGAAAAGAAGCGGTTGGGCTGCCCGGGCTTCGCCGAACCGGGAGGGCACGTCAAGCTCTCCTTCGCAGACCGTTTGGGAACGGAACAACCACCCGCGCGAACGTCTCCTTCGCTTCCCTTCCGCCATGGGGCTCCCCCTGCTGCTGGGTCTGCTGCTTTACCGAGCCGGTAAATTTGGGTCTGTGGGAGCGTCGTCCCTCGTCCCCTTCACCGCAGGGTTTAATCCCTATTGGAGGGAAGGGGTATTTTACTAACTCCTGGGGGCTGAAGGCTGCGCTGCCCGGGCTGTCGACGTCGCGTAAGACCGGGGAATCCTGCCTGTTTACTCCCCACAGCTCTCTTCAACCCTCCGCTCTTTTTAGGGCAACGGTTTAATTGTGTGTGTCCCGCCGCGCCTTTTTCTTCTTATCAGAAGACCGCCGTTTCTTGGCTTTCTCGCTTCCCTTGCCCTAAAGGGCGCTTTGGTTGCAATTCTGGGGACAGCTTGTTGGTTGTTAAGATAAAACTGCCTCTCGGAGGCTTCTTTCGGCCGAGCACTCTTAGGATCGGACCGCGAGGCGTCTCTTCTTCGAGGCTCGTCCAGATTTCTGGTCCGAGTGCGGGCTCTGTGATCCAGATTTGCGGCCGAGGGGGGACGTTTGATCTTCTCCTGTGATTTGCCGGTCACTTTGGGTGTGTTCGGGTCAGGTGGGTCCCTGGGTTGACGTTGTGGATGGGTGCTGTGCGGGAAAAGGAGAAGGTGTCGGAGTAGGGAGAGGTGGTGGAGGTGGAAATGGGAAATGGGCTAGTGACAGTTTTTCGTTCTCAGTGGCAGGCTGAGCAGTTCCAGTGCATAAACTTTCGTCAGGTGCCTGCCAAGATTTCGCGAGCTATAAAAGAGCAACGGTTTGTTTTTCCCTACCAAAGAGCTGTTTACCAGCATGTTGTAAAAGCACTTTACAACAGGCAACTCATTCACTTTAAGTAATACGAAGAGAATTGTCCTAAGTTAAATTAGATCTCGGTGTTTTCAGAAGAGGGAATTTGAATCAAAGGGTTTTTCATTCACGAGGCTTATAATTTTGGTTTTTGTTGTTTACATTTTGCCTGTAATCTTCAGCCACCACCAAAGATTTCCTGTGATTTCATGCTGGTCAGGGCAGTTTTACTGAACTGCGCTGAAAAAAAAAAATCTCCCTAGCACACCAATTGAGAACCTTTGACTACTAGATATTGAACTGAATATACCTTATGCGGATGCTGACTTTGGGCAGTTGCAATTCAGCAATGCCTGGAACCCAGGGATTTTTCATCCTAGGTTACCATTTGAGAAGATCCTTTCATCTAATCTAATATAGACAGTTCTTAGACAACTTAATCCATGCTAGGAAGGAGACCAGTCAATTTAAAAATAACCCATATATTTAATTTGCTAATAACCCAGGGAAATAAATCACACAATGAATTCAGATATCCTGAACAAGATCTGTAGGGTTCCTATATTTGACAAGATGCAAAAGACAAGTTGATTATATCCAGATTTGGGCATTTGCAACTGGGTTCCAAGAAGCAAACTTTTTCTTTTCTTCTCCTCCAGCCTTTTCCTCTCAAATACTAAATTTAGAATTGGAGATAAAGCTTTATAGGAAAGGTTGTTAACTGCGTTTGTATTCCATCATTCCTGCTCAAGCAAAAGATGCTATACAAACATTTCTCAATTCCCTTTTACCTTCACAACAATATTGTGTGGCAGCCTAATGTAGTCACTTATTTATTTAAATATAATTCATGAATAAGCTGCAAGAAGGTTGTTACATTAAGCCCATAATGATTGAATTAACGTATTGTATTATGTCTGAAACAGACCAATTAGATAATCACTGAGCAAAAGGTGTGAACTAATGAATGACCAGCCCCAAGTCAGCTTCTTGACTGAATAGGAATCTGAATTACATTCTCCCAACATTTCTAGGATGCTCTGACTAGATGTCTTAATTACTCGAACTGAAGAATATGTACTTCTTCAGCTTTTGATAAAGAACTACATATTTGGAATAGTTTGCTGCTTCTATGGTGGTTCATCGGCTGGGAACAAATAGGATCAGAGGCAATCTTGTTCCAGCAACTGTTGTTTAGAAGGGTTGTCCCTGTTCATGCAGATACTACCTATATACTGTATGGCCATCAAGATGAATACACCACATTGTAACAGTAATTTAAAAAAAAGAATTAATGGCAAAATACATTGTAGCCTCTTCCCTAAGTTCTGCCATTGACTTTGGCTAGGTTCTCACATCATACTAAGTCAAACCCCCAAAACAATACAAGGGTATACCATGCAATTTGAACCTAATATTTATGTACAAAAGAGCTTGTTTTAACATTAAGTCTGTTAACATTTTTCTGTATTGAACTCATGGAGGAAATCACAGTTATGACTTTTCTAGCTGCTTCTGGCAGAGAATTAAAATGATATATAATTATATTATATTAAACACTATATTAAAATGATATAATATATATATATATCTTGTATACATTGCACATATAGTGAGAAACAATTAAAAAGGTAAATGTTTCCCCTGCCTAGTTGTGTCAAACTCTAGGGGGCAGTGCTCTTCTCTGTTTCTTAGCTGAGGGAACCTGCGTTAAAGGAAGACCTTTCCATGATCATGTGGTTGGAATGACTATATGCCGAGGCACATGGAATGCTGTTATCTTCCCACTAAAGTGGTATCTATTTATCTACTTGCATTTGCAAAAATAATTATTCTCTCCTTATAAACTTTGACATTTCTCTGAAATGTTTATGTTACTTTTTATTTTTATTTATCATCCCAAACTCATAACATGCAGTGAATTAGAGGTATAAAGGTTGGTGAAATAGGTTGTAGGTATCATTGCTCAATGAAGAAAATATATGCTAAAAAATATACTGTCCGATGTTATCAGATATATTCCATTGACTGACAAATCCAATATTATTTCCAAAATATCTTAATGTATCTTTAAACAATTGCAGAAATATCTTTTAATACACTAATTCAGTTTCTACAGATGTTCCAATCTCTTATCATTATTTTTCCTTTACATGTATATTATGTACAGCATATAGAATCAAAATATTCAAGTGACCTTTTGGGGGAATTCCAAAATTCCAAAATACTGTATTCTAATTATTAAATCTGGTTTCAGTTAGGTAGATTAGCTATCAAAATTTAAAGTACAAAACAAAGTATAGCATGTAGCCTAAATGAAATAAAAATAGGAAGTAATAACACAAAATACAAACAGAAGAGGCTTTTTTATTGTATCAGTCTTATAGAAAAGTTTGAATGGTGTTTAAAATCTCTATTACTGCCTGGGAATTTGTGGGAATTGTTTGAGAAACAATGCTATAGACATATTTGAGGAACAGAAATAGATCATGAATTACTCATATGCAAGTTCCAAGTTAAGCTAGAACAGAAGAATAAAGCCAATTTCTATGTGGTGGTCATTTCCATACGATTTTGCAAAAAAAAACAAAAAACCCACTATTTTCAAGGGCAACATCAGGAATTAATTCAAAACCAGAAAGTCATATATAGAGTACTGGAAGAACTGTGGAGTAAAATCAAAGAAGTTGTTAAGGTTGAACATGAAAAGAGACAACCAAAGACCAAGAAACAGAAGAAGCAAATTGGATGTTAGATCAAATAGTGGAAATTGCCAATAAGAGAAAAGAAGCTAATCCAAGAAAGACAGGAGTCCCAGGAAGGAACTTGTTTAAGGAATTTGAGAGCTATTTGAAGAGACAAAGAGCAGTATTGCTAAATATTGATATAGAGAGGGAGAAACAAGGAAAGTCTTTCAAAAGATTTATAATCTTAGAAGGAAATTCCAACTTTCAAAAGGATGAAATGTTAAAGGATGCCAGTAAGCAGGTAGAAACTGATTCCGAGAAGATCAAACAAAAATAGAGAGAATATAATAAGCTTCAATACAGTAGAATGCTTGTACCCAAGGTATCTTAGAAGACATTCCACATTTACAAGAAATTGAGTAAAGGTTCTGACAAACAATGTGAGTAAATCTGAAGAATACTATAGTAACCAACTGTGGAAGAGGTCAATCTGTGAACCAATGTCAGAGAGAGGGGGGGGGAGAGAGAGAGAATTAACAGACTGTGAAAACTATTATACAAATCCTTAATTAAAATTAGGGGACTGGAGTCTAAAACATATAAAGAACAGTTACAGGAACTGGACTTGTCTAGTAAAGAGAAGGACCAGGGGAGACACGATAGCAGTGTTCCAATATTTGAGAGGCTGCCACAGAGAGGAAGGGGTCAAGCAGGGGTGGGTTTCTACTGGTTCTGTCCACCTCTGTAGAACCGGTAGCTCTGAAGAGCAGCAGACATAGAACCGGTTCTATGTCTGCTGATGTTTTTGCCCACCTCTTACCTGATCTTTATTTCCTGATTTTTCAACTTCAGCTGCCGAATGAGGCACAGCTGCAGTTTAAAAAGCAGGAAAAGAGGGCTGTTTCAAAGGCTGCTTCTCTGCACGCAGCTGCTGATGACGATTTACAGGTGCGCGGCTCGCAGCCGGCAGGGAAACTAGTAAATCCCAAACTGATAGTTAACCCTGTCATATCCCATCCCTGGAGTCAAGCTATTTTCTAAAGTGCCTGTAGGCCAGACAAGGAATAATGGATGGAAACTGAACAAGGAGAGATTTAACCTGGAAATAAGGAGAAACTTTCTGACAGTGAGAACAATCAACCAATGGAACAGCTTGCCCTCAGAAGTTGTGGGAGGATCATCACTTGAGACTTTCAAGAAGAGATTGGACTGCCATTTGTCAGAAATGGCAAATAGATAGGGGGATGGACTAGATGACCTACAAGGTCCCTTCCAAATCTGATTATCTGTATCTGTATTAATTTTTCACATGCTAGGAAGCTAATTCTTAGGATTATCCAATGCAAATTACAACTCTCCGTGCAAATAGAGGTGCCAGATGTTCAAACTGATTTTATAAAAGATGAAGTAATAAGAGAAATCATAGCTGAATAATTGAGAAAACAAAGGAAAACCAAAAATAAATTGGTATATTCTCTATGAAAACAAAATTTAGAATTTGAAGAAACAAAGAATGGAAAGAATATTGATATTTTTGTACTTTATTACTGGAGACAATTCTTGA